GGGTGGCCATAGAAATTGAATGAATGAATGAATGAATGAATGAATGAATGAATGAATGAATGAATTCCAATTCACTTGGATTTAAGTCATTTACAGCCAATTTAAGTCCCACTGAATTCAGTGAATCTGTTCTAAGCAGGTCCACATTCAGTGTCCCTCTGAAATTCAGATGTATGTCTGAATAAGATTTTTGCTGGAGGTATGTTGGAGATGACACACATGCTCTCAGGAGTTCCCAATGTGCCACCAAAGGTCCCTGGTCCTTGTGGGAGGTCCTTCTTAGACTAGGAAGCTTCCTCAATGAACACCCTTGTCCCCACAGAACTTTCATGCAAGGACATGGCTCAAACGTCCTTCTGTCTTTCATACAAGGTCAGGGCAGAAAGGAGTTGCGTCATCTCCATAATGGCTCTGGACCTGTGCAATTTAGTCTGGAATTCTCTTCTGGAATTTTAATCCTGTTTTTTTGCCATACATTTCCCTTTCTCCTTCTCAAGAGAAATGCCTGCAACTTGTGCCATAAACACACAAACTGTCCTGTCACTCAGAGTCCAGATAGCCATCCAAATGTCTGGCAGATCAAGGTCATTTAAGAGAGATCATTCTGGGTAACATCAAGTTCTGATAACGCCTTTCTCATAAAATCTCCTTAAGCTGTAGGACTCACACTTACCGATCCATACAGTTCGCCTCTCTCATTCATTCCCAGGTAAAGCCCAGAATCCACTCCGCGGATGCTAACCAGCCCTACAGCCAAACTTATAAACTCCAAAATTCCTTTTAAAAAACAGAAAAAAACAGAAAGTTACTTGAAGAATGAAGAAAAAAAAAAAAGGAAAAAACTTCACTCTTCTTGAGCAACAAGCTTTCCGAACCGTATCACTTTGGAGATCTTACAGATCCAGCCCTATTCACTCCCCAAGGGCATGGTCTCAATCCTTTCATGTGGAAAACCTTTCACAGGAAAAGAAAGGCGGCGGCAAACTGAGCATCACGGAGGGATCCAAAACCATCAGCACAGAGAGGGTGTTGCAAGTCATGCACAATCACCCCAGGTAGGGGAGCACACCAAGCAAGGGGTCTCATCAGCAAAGGGGGGGAATGACCCTGAAAGGGCTACGGGACCTCAGTGGGAGGGGTGCCTCTGACCAACTGTAGGAATTAGTTCTTAGACTGTAGGAATTAAGGGAGAAGGAATTAGGAATTAGACTGTGAGAATTAGGGGTGCTTCTGACTGACTGTAAGAATTAGGAATTAGGAACAGTTACAATGGCTTTTCCCAACCAAGCACCTTCACTTGTGCCGGGAATTGTAGCAGCAGCTCTCTCAAACATGTCAGGAAACAATTAAGGGTGCTCCTGGGTATGCAGACTGAGCCTATGGGGAACTGCAGTTCGGCACAGCTGGAGGAACCACCAGCGCATCCCGGTGCATGCTGGCCTGGCCTGAGCACACCCCCTGATCGGGCTTTGCAAGGGTTGGCTAGGCAAATTTCAATTATTGTTTTTTCAACCATTCAATCTGTTGATATCCAAGAAATGATCTTTTCCCATTTGCACTATGCTTGCCGTGCACTAGCGTGACCATGCAGTAAAATTCAGGAAAAGGCTGTGCATCGGAAGACGTGAAACTAGGCACAGAGACAGGCTACTGTATACACTCACATATAAGCCCATCCGTGGATAAGCCGACCCTTGAATTTTTATTCAAAATGAAAAAGGTGCCACCCGTGGATAAGCCAACCCACATTTTTCCTGGTATTTTGGTTAAACAATTGAGGGTTGGCTTATCCGTGGATGGCCTTATATGTGAGTATGTACAAGATATAAGGTACTTTTAAAAAGTATTGCCTATATACTCGTGATAAGCCCATCCATGGATAAGCCAAATGCAATTTTCGGGGTGCATATTGGCACCTCAAATTCTCAGCTTATCTGCAAGTACATACAGTATATATTTTATATATATGGCCCCTATGAGACAATGTAAACAGATTGTGATGAGAAGAAGCAAATCCAGTCCTGACACTCTACTTTCCCCATCACCAACAAGCATATTGCACAGAGTCAGTGAGTTTTCTCTTCCTCTCCTTCTCTTACCTATACCTGATAGGGTTTTCTTGGACCTGGATAAATGCCAGGAATTGCAATGACTCAGAGCATTCAGATAAACATGGAGAGTTCTACCCATACCTATTTTTAGCAGGGATGCACAAAGATGAGTTCTTGAATGTCTCCACTGGAGGAAATACCCATGCTTCACTACTACTAGCCCTGTTCTTCCAATCCTGCTCTTAGAGACCACTGGAAAAGCTCTGACCTTACAAACAGCAGAGAATCTCAACTCAGAATCTCAAACCGTTAAGAATGAAATTACTACAGTTTGAATTAAGTAATTAGTGTACCATCATGTCAAGTGCCAGTAAAGAAGAGCACCTGACTGACTGTGTGTATCAATGGCAGCTCATGGGGTACAAACTCCAGAAAAATTGGCAAGGGAGATAATTATTCACACTGTAAAATGAAGGAGCGCCCGTTTATTTCTAGAGCTTCTAGGATGTCCAGCCTTTCATGAGAATATCTATCCTCATTAGATTACATCATTACATTTTTAAGAGCTACTCGGAAGGAGCTACTTTTGAGTTTAACAGGGATAATGCTTCTTCAGGATATATATATAATGAGGCACAGTCACAAGAATCCTTGGGCAAACAAGGGCATTTTTTTTTTTTTTTTT